CACGCTTTATATATCGCATAACATGGAAATGGTAAGCTTAAAATATTGACGTCGTTAAAAATTATAAAAAAAAATCATCGATTTTGTGGTGGGAAGTGAGGTGCTATAGACATTTAATTAAATGTAAAATGAGAGTTCAATTCAAATTAATGCCCTTTCAGGGCATTAATTGAAGTTATCGTGACCCAAAATGAAATCAGTGCAAATAAGTCACCCTTTCAGAAATAAAAACAATTTTCAGATTTTTTCAGACCCGTGTAATCAAAGTTAAACTTGTAAGAAAATTAGACTGGGTTACCAGATTTTCCCGGTGCATTTTGCGGCCATTCCAGAGTGACGGATAAATGATCGTTATACGTGTGAGTTTGTATGTGGCGATTGATTGGCGAATAGTTGACTAATAATTTATCGATTGCGGCGAATAATTGATCGTTTGCAGGAGGCGAATAGTCGTATATGGCGAATAACTAATCATGTGCACGTGACGATTAAATGATCACTCGAACATGGCGAATAATTGATCGTATGTGTATAGCGAATCGCTCACACGTGGCGAATAAGTGATCGCTTGCCCATGACGAATAATTAATTGTCTGCGTGTGGCGAACAAGTTATCAGTCGCATGTGGCGAATAAGTGATCGTTTTCTTGTGACGAAAAAATTACCTGTTTGATTGATTTAGCCTGCATGTGACTGATCGTTTGCATCTGGTGAATGTCGTATGTATGTCGTGTATGTGAGGCTTCGCTAATTTTGTTTATAGAGACCCAATCTACATGCGGTGGACGACGTCTGAGTTGCCCATCCTTTGGTATGGAATTAAGATTCGAAGTCACCATCAAAATGAGGGTACCATCACATGAGGGCAAAAAGTGATCTTTTCCTTACATGAATTAAGAACACATTTTAAAAATCAGTATAGCATATCCATCCAATGAGAGTTATACTTGTACGTTTGTATATGGCGAATAATTGATTGATTGGCGAATAATTGATCGATTGCGGCGAATGATTGACCGTTTGCAGGAGGCGAATAGTCGATCGTATATATGTGGCGAATAACTGATCATGTGCAGTTGGCGAATAAACGATCATTCGCACGTGGCGAATAATTGATCGTATATGTATGGCGAATAATTAATCGTGCGCATATGGCGAATAGTTGATCGCTCACACGTGGCGGATAAGTGATCGCTTGCCCGTGGCGAACAATTAATCGCATGTGATGGCGAATAATTAATCGTGTGCATGTGGCGAATAAGTGATCGGTTGCATATGGCGAACAAGTGATCGGTCGCGTGTGGCGAATAAGTGATCGTTTGCATCTGGTGAATGTCGTATGTATGTCGTGTATGTTAGGCTCCGCTAATTTTGTTTATAGAGACCCAATCTACATGCGTGCATATATATTATATTATTATATATATAATATTAATAGACATTTAATATAATATATATTATAATTACAATGTTGTAACACAATAATCTGAAAGACAATAATTTGTCCAGCAATGGCGTGTTCTTTCATCGATGCTCTGCACTAATTACCTTCACGCCTCCAGGGAAGACTGATAATTTCTGTGATGATGTTTATTTGATGTCACTAATGAAGCTCTACAGCGAAAACGTTTTTTCTTAATGTATCTCCCAGGGAAAAAAACTAAGCACATTAGACTTGACAATCAAAACTGTCGTGCAAGTTTGTTAAACTATAAATTAACATTTGACGTTGTCCGTTAACGCTTACATTATGGCTCACACTGTCAAACATATTTCGTTTTGTTGCCTTGAATTACCCGAAGAAATATTTTATTAGATGATTCAGTAATATCTGTTTCAATCAACAACTGTATATGATCGCTTAAAAAAGTGGCAGGTTTCTTAATTGAGGACGTGGTACCATGTTAATCAATTTATTTAATTTTATTCCCAACAGTGATTGAACTTTAATTTTGAAAAGTTAAAAATGTTACATTAAGAAGAGAATGAGACAGAAATATTGCAGAAACGGTCCATCAGTTTACTAGAATTGAATTCCATTTAATTCTTTACAGTACACCCGTTCGTCGGTCGCATTTATATATTTTTGACCTCAACGTTGTTGTACTCGAACGAAATTCATTAAAATTAAAATGTCAAATTATTTTTAACGTAGTTCAAGTGATTAGTTAATTTCTTCTTCAAGATGTCAAAGTGTGCAATATCCAAGAGGTGTCTCTTCTTTGCGAATATTGCGATGGCTCTGCAACACAGTTCCCGAATTTTAACTGGTAAGAACGATCTAAAGAATTGTGTTTAATACTTTTGTATTAAGCGATTAGAGCAGTAGAAGAGCATGAGAAAGAGGGGGAAAATTATTGAACTAAATAAGAAATTTTATTCTTCACAAGATTAAAATAAAGTAAATTTATGGATCTAACACAATGGAAATTTACAATGCACCTAAATAAATAAAGATGTCAATGCTGGAGACGGTATAATAAGGTTGTAGGAATCGACATGCCATTCGTTGTGTAAATTTGATGACCAACTAAAGCGAGAGCGCTAAGATATTGTAATAGTCTTTGAAAGGGTGTAAGAACTGGACTTGTTTATTCGTTATTCTACTTGATAATTAAATGTTTATGCAATGAGAAGAAATAATTATTGTGTTATTTATTTGAATATATAAATACTTTAAAACCATTTAAGGCATGGACAGTGAAGGAATAAATTACTCTCGACTGAATATAAAAGTAAATGAACAGAGCACTACAGTATTAACAAATATTTACAATAAATTATAACATCCTAGAGAAATGGAAAAAAAATTTCGCTAGAAAATCTCACTCGTAAGGACAGTTACAGCAGATGTGATGTTCACGATTCGTAGGTTAAATAAATTGCAGTCAACTTAGTATTCTCGAGCTTCTGAAGGAGCCATTGAAGCAAAATTCAGGTCTTTCTCGAAAGCTTTTAACGTATTCTCATGCAATCTTCATAGTTATGGTGACACTCTGAACGGAAAGTAATTTACCAAAAACATCGTAATACTTATTGGATTTTTTCAGTATTCTTCACAGCTTCATTTTCCCAAGAAAAAACATACAAATTAGTTAGTAGCTCAATGTTTATGGATACGATATCGATGCAGAACTTGAAACCCATTGCATGCGACACCGTAGTCTTTACACCATGCTCACTACTTATCCACATATAAGTTTTAGAGTGCTATTCTATATTATACCGCATACACGAGCAAGTTATTGTCGGTGTGGTCGAACTTTGTGGCATAATTGATGCCGCCGATGCCCTGTTTCAAACACGATAAAATTTTTAAGAGCATCTTTAGCAATAAAACCAGAAATTATAGCCAAGTCTGTTGAGTATAACAGTATAGTGTTATTTTATTTATGGTATAACAGTTTAGTATTATACTGTTATATCAACAGTATAGTATTAAGTGCCAATATGAGGCAGTGGCGATTCTATAAACCTAAACCTTTAATTTTATTTCTTTTATATAACGTGGCCCGTATCATTGTCATCAAGTACTAAGCATTTCAGATCAATAAAAAACTGATACGTCGACAGGTCTATCTTTTATCTCCATCCACCACCAAAAATTAAACTTCAATTTGACCATAAAACTTCTTTCCTTATGTGACCCTTAACACTGAACACACGAGAATCTACTGAAGTTTTCTTCGTACTTTCTATAACTGTGGAGTATGGAATCATTCGATACCATTTACTTACTCATTGACTGTTAATCTAGCATGTTTAGTTGGAGTTTTACACTAACAATAATTTAATTTCTCATTAAAAGCTATCCTTTTTACTTCGAAGCATACGCTATACAACAAATGATATGCAAATCTTAATATAATCTCATCAAACTAAACTTAGCTCTCCTTGTCGCTTCATGGAAAAGAAATCCAGACAATAAAAGGAGAGTGATATAGGAACAATAATTGCGTGAATAACTTAATTTTTAAGAGCCTTTAACCAAAAGCGCACAGAGATATATTTCATACCGATTCTGATAGTAATCTAATCGAAGAATTAAGTAAATAGATTCATGCCCTGATATCTCTATTAATGACGCTAATTTGCTTGACACAAAAAAGCACAAATGAAAATAAAGCGTTTCAAGGAATGTGGTGTATCCCAAATTTGAAATCGTTACTAACAAATAACAATAATTTTAATGGTTGAAGAATTTGCCCTCCCACGAAATGAAGTATTTCACATCTGTAACCATTAACCACGAACACCAATAGACGCGATTCAATAGTACGAACATTTAGCTATCATAACTTCAACAAACACGCGTTAACCCTAATTTTTCTATCCTTGAACGGCGAGATTTTAACAAGAAAACGCTGAAAACGCGTCACAAGGCTTCAATCATCACTTCGAAGCAACATGAACGACATCAACAACAACCGTAACATTTTTCAAAAGAGCTTCATGCACGGCCTTAGCCTTCCATAGGAAAGCCTCAGCAACAACAATAGACAGAAAGACGTAAGATTTAACAGACAATATCATAGGATTCAACTGGAGTTATAATAAACTCTTGCTGTTATTCGTTAAAAAAAAGGTAAGCTCACGGCGGTAACAGTTATGGCTTAGCTATGGTAATTGACCTTAATGTTTGAATACTGTATTCACTTGAATGTTTTCAAGATGCGAATAACCAGATGTTAGCTAATATACCACATGAAGAAAATAATCAGTTAAGGAAACTAATAGGACTGTCTCCAGTCCGGTAAACCTACTTTGAATACAGTAGCACGGTAACTGAATTGTTCGCAGAAATTCTTGTTACATGAAACTCATGGACGGCGCGTATTAACCACTCGCTCTAACGTTACACAAAAAATAATGGAATAATTGGGTTTATTTTGTCCGTGATTAGTTCGTACAACATCTAGCAAACGATCACGAAGATACGAAAACTGTTTTTTATTTCTCTGAAATAAAGGAGTTCGCGAACATTTAAAAATTACATTTGAAAAGATTTTTTTTACTGAATAGCATTTTTAAAATAAGAAAAATGAAATCTTTTTTCCTGATGCTACCCATTATCAGCCAGTTAAATACATATTTTTTTGTATTTACACTTAATTGCATTTAAGATGGAAGATGCCTTGTCTGCAACTATCGTCTACGTTCGGAAAATAAAATAGAAGTATATTATATAACTCACAGCACTGGTAAAGGTATCAACAAACTGACTTGTTCCAAAAAGATATCGACAACATTACTACAACAACGCTACTCAACTATCCAGGGAACAGTCTAAATTTAAATGCAATCGTAACCATCTAAGGGGATAAAATACAGAAGCATGACCAAGGCATATTATGTAATACGGGAGTTCTCCCCGCTAGTCTCAGGCAACGGTTGCCTCATTCAATGTTCATGAACAATATTACCCCTCCACTGAGAGTTGCACGATTATTGATAAGGCTCAATTACTGCTGTCAGAAAGTCTCAATAAGAAGTATGCAATGTCGGAAATATCGATGGGGCGCTGTGCTCAAACATGATTGCTGCTTCAGACGAGTGGCTTTCTGAAGGTTGGAAAATATTCTGTTGAGTTAATACGACTACACTTGGAAGTAAAATAACGATAAAAAATGTTGATAAACATAAGAAAATATTTTCCTGGGATAATTCACTGTAACAAGAATAATTACATACTATACGTTACATAATAGATTAGACCTGAAAGTATTCAGGAAAAGGCACCATGAATCATAAAAATGCATGCAGCGCCCTAAAAGTAACTATTTATCATGGAGGGATCATCTGCAACATAACAATAAACATAAATGTTGTGATATTAAAATACCTACCATAAATATACCTGGGAGAAGTAAATAACATATACAATGTCAAGGAGATCTTAAAACGAAAATTTCAGAAACATGAGGGGCCAGTAGAATCGTGCTTCAATGACCCAAAAATTGTGATTTTATTAGCTGATCTTTACTCTCAAATCCTCATATTAACGTGGAGATGATAAGCTTGAAAGCTAAAGTACATAAATATGATCACCATAATCAGTAGGAACTCAACAGATCACTTGTAGACATAATTTCGGGACCAATTAACCCGTTGTGTACTGACGGGCCATCTCGTTCCCAAGCCATTAGGTACGAATAGCATAGACGGCGTTGAATGCATCCCAAGGTAAAGGGTTAATGTCCGAGTTCTCCTCTCTGATCTTGGGAATTTACGACACAATATCCATGGAGTCTGGCGACAGCGATTCGTGGAGTGAAGACGGGGAGTCGTACGGAGTGGATGGCACTTGAGGGGAAGAGAACAAGGGGTCGCAGCTGTACACTCCTGATACCGGGTCGTCTTCCATCAGGTCCAGTTCGAATGGATGCGCATTGAGGTCTTGCAGCAACTCCTGGTAAAGATAAGTCTTATTAGACCACAACAACTGTAACAGTCTGGAATAAAACATATCGACTTTATGAAACAATTATGTGTACATAGGCAGCAAGCAAAATTAATAAACGACACTTTTAAAATGCTTTGAAAATAAAATCTCCGAATAGAATTGAAAAACTAATTAATATTTACTGCCGGCAATACAGCAAGAATTGTTGGGCATTAACCATTTTAACAGTTTATATCAATTAACAGACATGTTCGCTGTGTTACGCGAGTTTCATTATGCATGACGAGAGGAAAATTTGTATTCGACATTGAGATAGTATACGGAATGCTCGTTTAGTAGAAATTCAACGTTAAATTTTGATATCCAACATATACTGCCGATAATAAGCTCATTAACCAATACATTCTTATCATTGAAAAATCTCACAAAATAAACAGGGTTTGTTTTAACTACAGGCAATCATCCCATAAATATACGAGGAAAACTTATCTTATGAAAAGTGATTAGAGTAAACATATTTTTTTCCTTATGCAATCCCGGAATGCAATCCACTGTTGTAGACTGACATATTACTACACCAAATTAGTTTATTTCAAAACAAATAAAAACCCAGGCCCCCAGAATGATTCTATTATAACTTCTCCAGATGATTGTTTTTGAACCATATTGAGGAAATACCGTTAGTAATACTATCAATGTTTCCAGAAAGATAAATAAATTCATCACAATGGCAGATGCACTCACCACCTGAACTACAGAGAATTCTTAACCATGTGCGCTTCCTCCCTATACCGAAATTTATCAACATTACAAGTTAAGAGAACAATAAATTGGTGCTCAACTGTTTTCCGTACTGAACTTAGTACTACCAGGCTTAGAGGGATGAAGTTACCAGAGGGTCGTATATTTTAGAATGAATTATTTGTCTCATGTTAATAAGGGCAACATTGAAAGCTTCCTGAACGTTGCAGACGAAGGGATGTCGAAATTAACCTGAAAGCACCTGAACACATGCTTGCAGTATATACTTTATGCTGTCAACGAAATGTCAAGACTTAATGATACAATAGAAGAATGGCTCATAATAAAAATAATTGACAGAATTAGTTAAATAATTTTGTACTTAAACCCGACAACTAAGAAACGATCAAATTATCATGCTGACGATCAACGAAAAACTTCATTACACCCTCGTCCAATAAATTAACTACAGTTCCACAGAATATCAGAACAAGAGGGAAATGTGTAATACCGCTGTATTCGGAGTGGATATAAAATAATAAAATGGAATGATACTACATTAAGGAAAGTTTTCGAAAATTGTCGAAAAATCTGAAGTTTAGCACACGCTTTCGTGTAAAATAAGAAATACGTGAAGATGTTACTTCTTAGGCTCACGATCTGCAGGGAGAATATCGCTACCCGAAGCGTAAAGGCAGCCACAGACGCCATAAGCAATAAAGAGTCTGGGCACGGAATTCGTGCAGCCTTACATGCGTTCTAAGTCACGTTGCATGTCTTTCATCGAATAAATATGCCTACTCATAATAAAATCGATCAAATTTTGGGTGATTGGATCTATTCACACGATTAGGATTAGATTTCTCAACCTCATTGTGATTTTTGGCCAAGAACCTGCACTCTATTCAATATTCCGTTGACAAGCTTCGAAACGGATGTCCGTAACTTAAAAATTGTAATCAATAAGAATAATGAGTTGTGAAATGACTGGATCATGAGGTAAAAAGTCACGTAATTATGTAATTATTTACCCGAGGCACCAGGGAATTCAGCGGCAACGGAGATCCATTAACTATGGACGAGAACAAAAATAAACCAAAGCAAAACCCACAAAAATTAAAATACAGTTAACGAAAAAAATAAAAGAATAAACTGAGGGAACAAAACAAACGGGTAAAAATAAAACGTACATTGATAAGACTCATGTCGTCATCGCACTCGGATTCGTAGAGGCAATGGAAAGGTCTCACCTTCCGATTGTCATTGTGAAGACTATCGGAGGATCGATCATTGCACGTATTATCCTCATAGTGACAGGAGGTGTCGTCATAGTGACACGTTGTGTCCTCATAATGAGACTTGGACGAGGCATCGTTGCATTGCGCTCCGAGAAGGTGGTCAGACGCGGGGAACAACGGCGTCAAGTCATCAGGTGTTAAGTCGTCCGAAGAAAGCGCGTCGCGTGTGAGAGCTTCTCTTGTTATGTCGTCGGGTGTAAGAGTTCTTGTGAGCAAATCCGATGAAGGCATTAAGAGATTATGATCAACAATGGTGCTCGAGAACTGATCATCGTGCATGTTAGGACTGTAGTTACTCGTGGGGGTGTTGTGTCCTGAGCACCCTAGGTCCAGGTTGTCCGGGCTATGATCAGGTACCGCGGAATAGTGATCGGGACTTAAGAAATCTCTTCCTATGGGACTGAGATTCGAGGAACTTACTCGAGGACTGCATACTGACGAAGTATGCATTGAGTTTTCTAAGCTAGGATTGAACGTCAGTCCGCTGTTACATAATCCATCCATTGCATCTAAATTAATCGTACTAAAATCTGAATCAGGATCAGAATTATAATTGCAATCATTCTCTTTAGAGGTAACCGAGTTATTACAAGTCGAAAGCCCTGCTGTGCTATCGGATTCGAAGGGAAAATTATTACTCTGACTCGTGGAACAGTTATTGTCCATTTGAGTAATATTGCTATTATTATCATTAAACATGCAGGAATTTTGTTTTGGACTACTGGCGCTACTAATATTAACGTTAAAATGGCAAGAAAACATAGTGTTAGAGGTGTCGTTTGAGTTAAAGTTTTGATTGCTCAAGGTGTTCGCACAGCTCACATTAAGAGCGTTGTTATTGGTTGAAGCATTGTTGGTGCAGAGGTTACTTCTGGGAGTAATGCTATTTTTGACATTCTCGGTTTTTAGCATCTGTTGAGACTGCGGCTGACAGTCTGCACTGATAAGAGAAGGTATCAGACTTGGACACAGGGTTGTTTCTTCAACATTGATGCCGCTTTGACGGAGTCGGGCCTCCAGTTCCTGAGGGGAAAATTTCATGTTATACTGCTCAGTCCATCGGTTTCTAATATTATAGGGGAAATATACAGCTTGAAATTAAATAATAAACAAATCGAGAACATTTTCAGGACAGTAACGTTTGCATTTGCTCAAATCGTTCATCAAAATTCCTAATTAATCAAGATGATTGAGATTCAAATCAGTTTCTCGTCGGAAAAATACATTCAAGTAGGTTGGGGTGTACTAAATGAAGACAAACTATAGAGCTTGATTCCTCCACAGGCAAATTAAACGAATTTTCAAAAATATTAACGCGATATTAATACAGAAGTTAACATACTTTTTTCCGTGATGAAAAATTATAAATAAAAATTGCCTGAATTTATTGTGCAACCATATGACTCACGGTAAATGAATATATGCTCACTACAGAATAAATTATACCCACTGACCTGTATTTTGAGGTGCAATTGTCTATTTTGTTGCTCCAAGGCACGACGCTTGGCATCCGATTCTTTGCTGGCGTCCAGGTCAGACTTCATGCGGCGGATGTAGTCTACGGACGCTTTCAATATCTCGCCTTTGTTGTGTCTCAGGTCCCGTACAAGGTCAAAATATCTGTAAAATAACGTTCATTTGATTACCCTAGTTTTGCTCATCCAACGCTAAAAAAAGCTACGAAAAGGCTTTAAAACAGAATCGAATAAAGTTAACTTTGTTTCGCAGTTATGTTTAGATATTTTCCAAGTTGGACAGTCTTTGCAAATTCTCAAATCGACTAAATAAACAGAGCTTATTACAGGTTCAATACAATTAAATATGAACATAGCGTTATTATTTAATGAGAATTGAACAGGAAACTTCAAAATTAACTCGTTTAAAATTATTTCACTATAAAAATTTCATGGAGTCTCAACTAATCAGTGCCAAGGTGGCTTTTCCTAGGGACGGTGAGGCGGCTTGTCCTACGGACAGCTCGTTGAGCTTGTCAAGAAACGCAACGTTTAACCTAGCAGATTTTGGCGTAAAAAGCCATGTTGTAATTCTGAAAATGATGCTAATACTAGTCCATGAATGAGTAGAAAGGAGCCAACTCATGGGGTAATCGTGTGTTATCTCTGGAGACATCGAGAGGCATTTTTATCTACCAAGTATATCGGAGGCATGTAATGACTACGGTGATATGCGCGATTGTCACGTCATTTCGAAATTGTCTAATTACGAATTACACTCAGTGCAGTGTGAAGGCTGCTGTCACCGTGCTTTGCCATAATGAATTACCTGACATAAAGTAATAGCGACATTATTCTTTCTTCAAATAAATTCACACTTCATAGTTCTTCTATAGGCATCTGGTGGAAAAAATAATCGGGTATATCTTGACGAATGAAAAGGCTGGTGACAACAATTACGCTTGGATCTATTACGTACTTTTGAAAGTTTACTTATGGCATGTGTGTTTGCGTGTTTGAAGCCAGGCAGTGTGAGTGTTTAGAATATTAGAGTGTTCACCCACTATAGCAGTCAGGCTATATTGGGTGCACGGATATGAATTTCGCTTATAATGCTGGACTCACGAAACTACGCAAAAAATATGGGGAAAGTTTGGATAAAGATAAAAATGAAATTTAATTTAACTTGATTTACAGATATAAAAATTGCAGGAAGTTCAAATTCTTCCCATTTGAGAAAAGAAGAAAAATCAAACGTATATTTTAAGTGTGTTTGGACTGGTTTCATTTGAATTAAAACTAATTAAAAAATTATTATTCACTGGATTTGGGATTTTATAAGCTTGTGAATTATCAATCCCAGGAAACCTTATGCTGCAACAAGTATAGGTAGTACGAGATTAATGAAAGAAAAATTGTTAAGAAAAATGTTTGTAATTAATTTGAGAAACGTTAATGATCCGAGCATGAATGACTGTGTTGTGCGAGAGAACCTGAAAATCCGGAGTATATGGACGGACAAAAGAAATGAAATAGACCCGGAACTGAACATGCATTTAATTATGTTATTGCGTCAGGCAATAACAACAACTAACATCAGCTTGCTGACCAGAGAAAACAAATCAAGGCCACGCTGGAGTAGGGCGACAAGCAAGAGAAACTCTCATGAGGATAACACGCAAGTAATGCTGCAGCGTCACTCGATCAGTAAGAATTACACAATCGTGTATTTCAGGATGACACAAGTCGTCATCCAATGTATCTGTGATTGAACCTGTCCGATTTTAACGATAGTTACACCTATAGAATAAGCAACCAAGTCAATTAAACCTTCATAATTAATTAAGATATAGTTATAATCTTGAAGTTGTTCACTAATAACAGCTGTACGATTTTGAAGCTAAGAGTTAACACTAAATTTACCCAGTTAATAAAAACTTTGCAATTTTCAAGTTTGAAGTTACGACCTTTAAGCTACTCAGTTTATCAAACCTGAAGATTTTTGAAGTTTCAACTTACAAACTTAGAATTATGCCAGTTAAGTAAGCTTTCAAAATTTTGAACTACAACGTGACTTAGTAAATTATAACCTATGTATTTCAAATAAACTAGCCGAAAGTAAATCAATAAGGTAGCAAGCTGAATCACAAAGAAACCTTGTCAGCCACGGAAAATTCCGCACGTTAAATGATAACAATGACAGAATCTTAATTCAAAGTTACAGCAAAATCCAAAACTAAATCTAAAATTTGAATTTCAGGATAAAATAATGTATTGTCTGTGGAGATGGAAACTTAACACACGTACAGATCGGAGCTGATTGCGGAAACAAGTGCCGTGCAAATCAACAGCGATGGCTCAACAGCCTTGAAAATACCAAAGCAAGGCGGATGACCAAAGCCTTGCGAATCACAATTAAATTCACGTTTAGTTGATACCACAAGGAAAACATGCGTGATGATCAAGGTTGTCTTTTAATCCTGACATTGGCCTTTTATACTAACGATTTAATAACACTAATCATTTGAAAAAGTTTCGTGAAAACTTAGCCCAAAAATAGCATTCAATTGTTTACGACTTTCTCGACCCGTCCGATTGTCAAGAAAATAATATTCAACGTCGAGAAAATTATGTTCAACGAAGAACTAATTCATGCTGCAAAAACAATGTACCCCTTAACTCGTCGGCGTCAAAAAATAATCGTAGCCACGACTTGCCACTTGAAAACATCGGTACACAGTTCAATTTGAGACATAGAAATAAATTTTCTTTCCTAAAATCAAAGCGTGTCTTGACTGTCACGCAATTAAACCAATCTTAAAATTAATTAATTAAGCAAATCCTAAACTTTGATTAAGATTTAATTAAATTAAAACTACTTGCAGAAGGTTTACTCAAGTTATTGCCGGTGTCATTTCATCACTATAACTGCACAATGGTGTGTATACGAGGGTACGTTATGCAATACCGCCTGAAATTTCTGAACGACGGCTAAGAATTGGCTTCAAACTGAGTTGTGTTCTTTAGGCATGCTCAATAATTAGAACTCTCGATTTTCCAACGGATTCTTTCTACGTGATAAACTCCTCAGCAATTAGTGATGGCGAATTTCCTTGAACCAGAAGACAAGTTCAATTCACCCAGCAATTAGATGTATGGTCATGCAATAAATATTCATTGAATACATGGTCCGGGGATACATGGTCATGTAATACATGGTCATGTAATATATGGTTATGAAAGGTTGTGAAATATAAAGCTAGTGGCAGTGGCGCCATTCGTTTTCGAGGAAGTATCTGAAGCGAGCTAAAGACACGAGAATCGTAGTGAAGCGCTAGCGACAATTTTTCCAAAATTCAGGATTTCGGTCGAATGATTAGGAAACGAACGTGTTCTCATTACTTTAGCACTCAGTCCAATTGTTGCTTGGTGTTCCACCAAGAGATATTCTCCCTGTGATTGATAAGTAAACTTTCCACGTGCAATAATACGATAAGATGAAAAAGAACTGATCAAATCAATTATGGATCTTTAAAAATGAATTGTGAGGTAATTGAAACGGCTTTGAGCTGTTTTGAAGTAAGTCATATTGACCTTGAAAAGCTACGCAAAATATGAAGGGTTAAATCGCACAGTTTTAGTTGATATAATCTCGTTTTTGAGGGCTTTTCAGAACTATCTGCTTACACCACAGAAATTTTCTTGAAACTATTTAAACAAAGCGTAAACAAAATCCACATGTTTCGTTTTTCCTACTATTTTTTATAGCATCCCGAGAGGGTATCGTGAAGCTATAAAGACATTTTACACTGTGCCAAACTATTGCATGAGGGACTAAGACTATAATCTTCACCTTTTTAAGATAAGCTACCTTTTCAAAACTGGTACAGCCCGATAAATTAATAGCTTCATGATTATGTAATGCACATCACTTTATTGTAAAAAAGTACAAAAAAGGTTAAGAAATCCACTCGCAATAAATAATGTAGGATAGAACTTTGGCACAGCTCCAGATCAGCATTCGAGAAGAGCCCTCAGAATGCTAAGGCATATGGAGCAATATAGTTACATCATTTCAAATTACGATCATCAATGAAGTTTCAAATATCTAAAAACTTGAAAATTTCGGGCATGATGATCAACCGAAAATTGAGTTAGGTACGAACTAGAAAATAATATTAATGATGTATATAGCAATGACTTTGATGCCCAACTTATTATCTTATTTGCGAATCGTGCAACTAGATCACCATTATTCCTTTCGAATACCGCGCAAGATCGAAAATAAAGCAACTATCTGTAAAAACTTCAAGCTAAACTTTTGCTAAGACGTACCCGAAGATTAATTGTTAGTTGATTTCACAATAGAAATATACTGGAGAATGGTTTAAAGCGGCCGATGAAGAAATGTGTCTTGAATAGCGATGCGTCAAGAATTGCCAGGTCACAGGTAATGTCAAATTAATAGCACGATCATGAGCAAAAAAAATCGTTATGCTCTGCAGTATGTACAAGTAACACTGCAATCAAGTGTAAAGGAGTACGTGGTGACGTAACAGCTGCTATTTGAAGTCCAGCACTGTGCACAATTAAATATATACGGTACGGAGACAAATTACAGTACCTATAGCGTGTAGTAAACTTTCAACATGGATCATACTTCATCAAATAGTATTCAGAGCATTGATGAAAAATAATTTTTAAATTACAAGGCAGTATATGCTACTGCCGAGCTATATCAACTGCAGAAACAATTTACGTTTTTTAACACCAAATATTCAAGAATTTAATATTAAAAATGCAAGTATTTTTGGACAAAAATACCGAGTCAAGAACTTAATAACAAAAATACTGACTGCCAAATGAATTATATGCTGTTCAAACAAAAACTAGGGCAAAATGCCGTACCTATCCCAAGTGTGGACACAATTTCAGTTTACTGAGGTACAGCAAATATCATACAAGGTCAGAACTCGCCCCTCATTCCTCGAGTCATCTTCACGCGACTTTATCTCAATATCTGAATTATCTTCGCAAGATAATAGCTCTACCGATAAACAAACATAATCGGCAATAGAACCAGACTTCGGTGCTAGAGATACGAAATGACACAGGTGGCTTCCTACTCGGATTTGAGTGAAGCACACTTCTGAAACTCGTCAAATTTTCTCGATGCTTTCATTTTATACAAAATACTTGAAGTAACAAGTGAAGAAAAATCACTTGTTTGAGTTATCGCGCACTGACTGAGTATAGGAAAAAACTTTGATTTACTTCGATCATATATGCGAAGCAAACAACTTTTGATTAATAACGCATCATTAATTAAGGAACTTCATTTACATAAAAAAAATTGCTTTATATTTGGCGTTAAAGCTTAGGCAGTAGCATCTAAACTTTGTAATTCCAGAGGAGAATTATTTCCGTAATTTATATGAAACGTAATACTTTCTATCTTACTTATACTCCTCTATAATGACGAAAGTCAAACAATTCATTCTTTTTTTAAAGGCAAAGATTGAGAATGACAAGTGCAGAATTAATTATGTAAGTATTTATTCCACTCTAAGTCAATAATATTGTCTACGGTAAGAAATTGTGCAAAATTAAAACAGTTGCAGATATAAACAGACGAGAACTCAAGACAAAACTAAAATTATGGCTTTCAAGTTTCGTCTAAAAATCAAAATAAAATTGACATAAGTTTTAATGATTACAGTCAACAAGAAATTCAGGAAACAAGAATGTTTTCTAAGAAGAAAAAGAACCTTGGCAGCGATACTCACGGCTCGTGTGTTTTAGGCAAGAGGGTCGCGAGTTCCTTGATGCGGTCGTTGATGTTGAACCGACGGCGTCGCTCAACTGCAACGAATCAATCCTTACATTGAAGATAAGAAAAAAGAAACAGATAATATTATTGTCAGTAGAAGTAATTAGATTAAATAGCTTAGCATAATCGACTACAAAAAAAGCAGCTTGGGATCCTCGAATACCTAAAAAGTAGCAAATTTTGTAATTATTGCTATATAGAAATGCCAAATTTCATTTGTTTGAAAAGTCGATAAGAAAGTCGAGTTTTAATTGCTCTAACGAATAGTAGATTTCTTCGTAATCCCATTGACTTCAGCAACGTATTTTCAAATAAATTCTTCGATCTTGGTCACAAGTTTGCTCGTGATTTTGCTATCAGAATAATATGCGTTTGACAGCCAGATTTGGTTATCTTCAAGTGGTGTTCGACAGCGCATCTTTAATGCTCATCGCATCGCTCACCAAGATAATAATTCCAAAATTTAGGATTTTGATTACCATAAGCAAGTCCTAAAATATAGAAATACAATATTATAATTGAAAAATTTAAAATAAATTGTGAGGCTGTCCATAGATTTCTCAGACTTAGCGATGCGTCAGCAGGCAAGAAATATATTGGCGAAGTGAAGGTGAAAATACTTAAAAAAAAACTGCAAATTGTGACTAAGGTTTTCTGCATTTACCAGAAGCGCATGGATGCGCCAGAGCAAAATCCGCACGTGAAAACTGTACAGTGAATTTAAAACAATGATTATTTTTTATAAACGATATAGCGTTTGTCATAATTATTTTTACAGGTAACAATGTAAGTGGTCGCTGAGCTTGTAAAAGCGTTCGCCGGTGTCACTTGGAACACATGGAAGAAGCCTAATTCAGTAATAATTGAGATTACTCCCTTGCATTCAACCAACGAACGGGCTGATAATTAATCGTTTATATCGCGATAAGGACACATAAGCTTTCTCTGCACTTGAGAACCAAAACACGAAGTCGCTCATTGTTCAAATGTTGATGCATCCAGCATGCTGATCGCCCTATTGCATTGTATGCAGCACTGGTGCCACTTTTGCTGAACACGAAGAAAAACGGATAATTGATTGACTAGAGACATTATAAAAGTAAGTAAATTGAATTCTGTTGAGTATTTTAACGAGTAATAGAGATAATGGGTACAATATTTAGTAAGTGAGTGCACGAGGAAATCGAGGCTATTCGTGTCATTAACGTTCCTCACATGTAAAAAATCGCGTAAGCACAAAAGGAAGTTTCATTTAATACATGACAAAATCGAGTCCATTAACTTTACCATTATATACCTAAGTACATCTAGTATGGTACTCTAAATTTGTAACAAGAATCGGACAAATGACCATATCGAGATAGTTTGTGTATTCTTCACTAGTAAAAGTAGGAAAATACTGCATGGAAATAAAGAGAGTGCATTCAAACTAATGAGAATTCGAGTCCGCTCCGTCATACTTCACGTCTTCGAGAACAGAACAGCGAAAGCTATAGAAAATGAGAAATACATAAAATTTAGCCAATAAAAGTGAGTTGAGACTTCATTGCCATCTACACAGCGACGTGTTACCTCAACGAGCCTCATATTCAGCGTATCATTTTGTGCGAGATATTTAAAAAAATCATTTAGTTGATGTTTTTTATTAGAAATCTGGAGTGAAAACTAGCAAGAAATTTGATAAATATAAGCATAATGGACTTTGAATACACTTTCATAAGAACAAGATATCCGTAATGGGAACGCGAAGAACCCGCAACCGCTCACTCACTCATGCCATGGTTCTTCTGGCTAACATAAAACAATTCTAAAGATTTTTTGCATAATGAACGTTATATACCATTTGTTGGGAATAAGATATCCGTAATGAGAACGTGAGGAACCCACAACTGATCGCTTACTCATGTTATGGTTGTTTTTCTTCTGGCTAACATAAAACAATTCTAAACTTTTTTTGCATAATAAACGTTATATAGTACTCTTTAATAGGAATAGGATATTTGTAAAGATAACGTGAGAAACCCACAACTGATCGCTCACTCATGTTATGGTTGTCTTTCTTCTGGCGCTCTTTGATGATGGCGATCATCTGTCCCTCGGACTCGACGTGAGGCTCCTCCAGCTTAACTCTGGTCAGGTCGCTGCCAGACGTAGAGTCTGGACCCAAGCCAAGCACGTCCTGTAACATACACATTCAACGAGTTAATCATCAGTGGTAAATCACTTAAAAATCGGCCTTTGTCCCAGCAATGGAATTGTATTGCATAGCGATTAATTAACCATGTCTACAAAGAGTTGAGTTATTAGATTTAGAATTACCTTCGCACTGTCAATTGAATTTAAATCTAGGCATTGATCAACCGTAGTAAATGAAGGGTCAAATTGATGACTGAATAAATTTGTTCGCAGAGATGAATTCTTACATGAAATAAACGTTTACCTCACGGAGTAAAAATTTTCTCAATGATTTTAGTGTGCGTTCATAAGACAATTAAAGATAAGAAATGTATTTCCGTTTCGAAATATTCTGCAGACACAAGTAAAATAACAGCGACATAAGAATGAAAAAGTAGTGAGACTAGAGTAAACAAAGAGCAATCCAAATTAAAAATACAGCGATGCTAATGTCAACAGATATTGGAGTAGAACGCAATAAGCACTTAAAAAAGATCGCAAATCTGAATTAAAATGATATGGACACTTGAGTAAAAAAACTGTGACATCGGAGTAAAAATTCAACGATATTGTAGTAGAAAAAAGCGATATGTAAAAAGACGACGAACCAGGCGTTAAACTACATCGAGGCTGGCTGAAGAAAGCAAAATAGCACTAAAGGATATTCATGCACGTTGGAAGATGACAGGTTGCATCGATAATCTATATCATCTACCATCTACCTTTTACTGGTTCATTGTGGACTCTACAGTAGTAATAAACAACATTTGTGGTATTTAGTTAATAATTAAGTTGAACTTATTCCCGTTTTCTTTTTTTCCAAGCTATCGTTCACACTGGTCAAAAGTAGACAAATCAGGTAAATTTTAACATAATTTGGCAAAAAGTGATGATTGAACGAAGGGAAAAACAGGAGTTAAATATCTTCTTCATCGACCAAAATTCTAAGAAACCAACCAAATACGGTATACAAAATATTCAATTATAATCTTTAAATCCTTACATAGTAAAAGATAATACTGGACTTGCATTGTTATGGTATGATGCGGAGTCGACATGCCGGATGCCTTGCGATTCCTCCAGACTGAGGATCTCTTCAATGACTTCATCCACCTGTACATGATATATAGCGTGACCCTTCGTTCAGGTAATCAGTAATGCTCCTATTATTATATACTAGCACTACCTTTATACTTTTTATAACTAATAATTATAAATTATGATAAAATTATAAGCAGCCTTGCAACAAAAACTCATTGTAAACCTTGTTCTCGGAGGGGACGAAAATGCAATATACGATGTCAACATTCAACGATCGTCGGGTCCAGCATGCAAGACCAGCAAATATAATATTTGGTATTCGACCAAGCCTAATAAGAGCACACTGAAAGTTTTTTAGATTGCAGAGCACACTTTAAGAGTGGGTCAAAGAAAGATACGCGTCATAGAAATTCTTCGGCAGTATCGATTTGATTTAAAAATAGACTAAGAGTTTATTAATAAATGTACTAAACTTATAAATCATAACAAATTGTAGAGAAAATCTGGCAATGGGAGAACAGGGAAAATACTATATAGCTCGTAATCAACATAATTACGTCCAATTTTCTTTATAATTTTGAATAATGCATTACAATCGTGCGGTCCAAGATGAATTCGGAATGGATCGTACTCTTTTACGGTCTTGAACAAGGATAACAATCTTCTTGAGAATACGCGATTTTGATCGCGCAAAGAAAATACTTAGATGACGATCGAAGTTGGCTTAGGCAACGACAGTGGAAAATACATGAATTGAATACAGTACAATACAGTCAATGTTCTTTTTTACTTTCAACTTCGTACTTGCTCTTCATTCGAATGCGGTCAATGCAAGACAGAATTGGCAACGCTGAATGAATACAGAATTTTAGTATAGGCCTCAAATTTCAACCTCGATTCTGTTGTGATGACGCAAAGACAAGAACTGATAATCTAATATGAAACAAGTCAATGGACGTCAGAGAGACAGTAAGGTATTCGTCTACATTTTGTAATCGTTTACTGACCGGCAACAGAACACATTATAAAACCAATATGCCGGTCACTTGCGCATAACTTGTCTCGACGATACTTGATACATTAATAACGGGAGCTTTCCCAGACAACGGTCCGGTAAATGATGCAATAGGCTGATTCATATGCTAATCGTAATATTTGGAGTTGGTCAAACCTTATCTATTAATTTTGATCGCGTAACTACAATTTAAATGCACATACATTACACGGTACGTTATGGTACATTTTTACAGCGCTCAAAAAGGTTTCAGTGATAGTGAGTTTCAAATGCCTCGATTCAACGTAACTTAAATATATAAATAAGCGACATTAGGATTGTTCTAAACTTCTAGACATGAAAGACGTACATAAAATCACGAACGGAATAAGCCTGATGTTTGATGATCTTCCGTTAACATTATAAAATGATAAAAACAGATAAATAATAAATAGTCAGATTTTCTACGAAAAGGTCGGCAGTGAACTTGTCTGGACAAAAATACAGACTACCAAGTGCAATTGGTAGTCATCTTCTTAAAACTATCCCACCTTCTTCCCAGTTTCTGATTGTTGACACCGCGATCCCAAATTTACCTGCAAATAAAAAAAAAAAAGAGCAAAATCAGATCAAACAAAAACCAGTTAACCATTTAGTTATGCACGAGAAAAAACTGGATTTTCATCGGCGTTGAGCAGGTGCCTTCATCGCTACGCAGCCGTGGCGAGTATCAATATGTTAGTACAAGAGCTTATTTATTGTCTGAGAAAATACCCACATGTAAATAAAAGCCAAAGACAAATCTTTCGTACTCTCATGATCTCGTTTCATATAGAGTGGAATAAATAAATACATATAAAAATGCAAAACTCTAATAAAAATGATTTATCAATACTTAAAGTTGAACATAAAACATTTGATCGTATTCTTAAAGTTTAAATTCGTCATAAAAATACCGAAGAAAAGAATCGAGAGAAATATTCAATTCGAAGTACATCTCTAACATCAGCATCAGGAAAAAAATTTTTTCTACAAAATTATGAATACAGAAAATAACAATTCAATGTAATCGTTTCCATAGCAATTAATTTGTGCAATCATCTTTATCCTTCGATTATACTATTCTATCTTCATCAGCTGCATACTCTCTCTTATTGGACGTGGCATAGCTGCATTATCTTATTAGACTTGTCAGCAGAAACATAATCTCATAAGACGAGTCATGCATGTTCAATATAAAAAGTCAGCTTTGACATTTCAGCCCACTAACTATTAAGCATATTGAAAACGATACCTAGCTGGTCATCTAATTGTAAAGGACGACGTAAAATAACAATTAAAAAACCTATTTTTGCTCCCGCAATAGGACGTTTCGGAAGATTATCATTTCGTGGATATCGTATATATATCACAATTTCTAGATACTTAATTTAAATTGTTCTCTCGTAACATGCATTTCTTTCAGCTAGATTTCGGCAGACATGGACTGTACAAATATTTTAGCCAAACCGGGTCACAATCTCTATAGTTCGCACAAATGATCAGCAAAATTTGGTGACAATAAAATCTAAATATTACAGTCAGTTCTACTTCACAGTTGCGGGGGAAGATAAAATATTATTTAACAAGCGTGATGCATTCAACAATCGCCAGCGAACCTATCGCAGCCGCCCTCAGCGTATCATCGTAAACAGATTTGCCTGATAAAAAATACAGGGAATTCGCCCCTCTATCAGATCAATCGTCAACGCACTGAGTGAAATGAAAAAAAAAAACTCATGCAATATTCCGGACATAATGGATGCTTCAATTATTCCAAAAATTTATAGGTTATTGTAACGACGTATGGACGGACAATGCAGATATTCAAACTGGTGACATTTTTGCGCAGTTATTCAAAATCAAAGAAAATTTCGGAAAAGTTCTAAATCTTATGCAAAATAGAGGAGAGAAAGATAAGTTGAGGCAATTTATAAGATATCATCACGTCAGCTTGTTGTTCATTTTACATGACAACATGTGCAGAGAACAATGTATCTGTAAGACAAACTTCTTAGTTAAATGCTGAAATCCAGCGCACAAGCTCTATAGTCACCCCACGCAAAAAAAATATATATTACGTATATTGTTTCACGTTTTCGTACATTTTTTTCAGTAATTGTAAATATAATGACTGGGAATCACTAACACCGAGGATTCGAACGCTAACTGCATGTAATGCCAGCAAACCTCAGTGAGAGGTTCACATGCATGGTCAAAAGGTTTCGAACACACACAGGGACAGCGCGTATAGCTACTTCCCTTTAGGCAGGCAGCCTTCACAAAGGGGAGGACAAAAACCATCTCATTAGGCCTATCATTCAATGAGACAACTCCATACGAGTAGCAAATAAGTCAAAGGACGGGGAACTAAAATAAGTGCTCAAATGCCCCGCATGATATGTATGGCGTCCATCAGAGCTTTAATTGCGTAAATGATACCCACACATCTGGCTGGTAACGACGTGCCATAACCTATGATGATTTAATGAGGACGGAAACAAAAAACTATGCGGCGCTTGATATAAACTAAAATTTACGCATGTAAACTTTCACGAGAAAAATTCTGAAGTGAATCAAGACAAGGTTTTCTAATTTGAAGAGGAATAATTTTAGAAAGGTATACGAATCATGGCACACATACTGTACCCAATATGAACGCGTTGGACACAACGATAATGCTGCGAACATGAGTTTCCTACCGTGACAGATAGGGCCGGAGTGGCTGCACACGAAAGATTAGCTAACTAACGATGACTCAGTAGTAATGTCTGCTGGTGTTTTAGCCCCATTTGATCGGCTCGCCAAAAATGACAATTAACAGATAGAACGCAAGGCGGCGAAGGAATAACCGTTTCTGCATTATTACTGGGATTTAATTCAACAGCGCATCGAGAAAATTTTTTTAGAATTTTCTGAACACCATCTTAATAATGAATTGATCGAGAAATATGCATGTGAAAAGGATACAAATTTCGATCAGTATAAAATACATGCTTACGCGATGCCGTACATCCTCAACCACAAGATTCTAAGACCACATGAACTTTCGCCTTAGCAGTCATAATGCCATGATTTGTGGACCTACATCATGCAGTAGCGTCAGCACGACGGAACACATGACTCCATAAGATACGTGATGCGAGCCTTAACAATGGTCACACGCCGAGACAATCGGCGCTAGATCTGCGATGGACGTTGAGCAGTAAAACCTTGCACGCAAAAGTTAGTTAGCCGCTGTATCTGAGCAAGCGAGGCACTGGCGTAATTGCGAGTCGCTGAAACAGCGAAACAAGAGCGGTAGAGTACGCGGCCGGCCATGCTCCCTCGAAACCATGGGATTTGAGATCACGTCTCAGGGCCTATTCGTTGCCATTAACTTACTCGTGGATGTTGAAGAAAAAAATCGGAATTATACTGAAGAAATAGTACAGCTACCAAACCCGAAATCAATAAATTATAAGTTTTTCAGATTACTTCATAAAGGAATTGATTTATTGTTAGAAAATAATTGAAGCACTTATAAAATAAAATTCTTCAAAACAGGTACACTCGCAATTTGGTGACAGGTTCGTGATTCATGTAATAAATGCACGTACTAGCCATCGTCATCTTTCATTCAAATTTCAATAATTCATTATCACTTCAAATTATACTTACAGGAACGAAGCTGCTCTTGCCGATGACATTGATTTTCTGTGATCTTGAAGCATCTGAGGCGATATTCAAAAGTTTACTGTGTTTGTTGTACCTGTTGTAGCAAGCAGCATCCAAGCACGGCCTACTACTGGACTTGCAAGAACCTGTGCTCACACAAAAAGTTCTGATAGGCGCACTCGATACTTCTCCATCGTCAAAATCTTCATCGAAATCTTCCTCATCCCAATCACTCTTGTCATCATTTTTTACATCATTCAACAAACTCACTGAATTTTCCTTGACACTGAGATCTTTCCTGATGAATATGGGCTGTGGTCGGTGTAAATTCAAACTTGGAGGTTTGCTATCCGAAGGCTTGATGGGCGTGAAGGAGGTGGAGGTGATCGTGGGTGAACCAATAGAATTCTTAGTAGTTTTCAGTTTAATTGTATAATGAGGTTGGCTCTCGTGAATAAGCGAATTACTGGACCTTTGAATGGATGAGGTGGTAAAAATAGTGGCAGCTTTAGTGTTATTTTGCGAGGTCACCACATGTGGCGAGATGATGGATTTAACACAGATGCCAGAAGATGAGGTAGTAACAGTTTTTACAGAAGGAAGAATGCAATCTGATTTTGGTTGAATGCTACCCACAGTTATGGCCCCAGTCCTTACAGAAGAATGGCAGTCGGTCTTCGGTTGAATGTTGCCAACAGTGATGGTGGCAGTTCCAGGTGAGGCTGACCAAGCAGTAGACGCGACACACGGAGCCTTCGCAATTGAGTTAATAGAATTCACTGATCTGACTTGATTAACTGGCAGAGGCGGGACCACACAGGAGCTAATAGAGTTCTTTACTTTGGTAGGCTCAATGTTCGTTATACTCGTCACTACGTTGCTGTTAGGAAGATTTTGGATCTGCGAAAGTGTGCGAGGCTGAACGTTAGTCCGATATTTTACAATATTTTTCTGGGGTACCGACGCCAGCTTGGACATGCCGTTGAACTTGATGAGGTCGCTGATCTCTGAGATCACTTGGATCATCCGGTCAGAGTTGGAGGAGCTACTCTTCTGAAGCTGAGACTTGTTTAGACGGATCTTTTTCATAGCATGTCCTCCTGAATGACCATTGCGATCTCCCCGACGAACTTTGATGATAAATGACTGCATGCTTCAATGTTCTCAGACGTTTACAATTTTTCCAAAATTAAGAATGATTCATTTACTTGTGAGAGCATATGAGTAGAAGATGACAAGTGTCATAGGCAGGAGGTTGCCACCCAAGTTCTTCTCTTTATCATGATGTTCTGCCTCACCAGACTCACCATTAAAGTACTAACTCAAAGGAAACTATCCATAAACCTACTGGTTACTTAAGGAAAAACTGTTGATAATAAAATAAACATCGATATAAAAGTGGACCCATAATCATTAAAGCTAACGAATTTTTCGAACCCTGCAAATACACGTCTTGTGAAAATAGAACGCCCAAGGTATACCATACCTTGAACATGTTGAAAATATAAAAAAAATCACATAATGTTATCAACATAATTCAGTGAATGGTATCAAAAGAAAATGAAGTGTTTATTTAGCCAATCAGTACCAAAGAAGTCTAACTGAAGTCTAACTGAATACAGCGGTGTGAATCAATTAAAAAAACTATTAGCGTCGCAGCCACCTAACTGATCTCCGGTTCAGTGTACAGTATAGAAACGCAGGCTATACGTGCAATGTGAAAGGGGAGCCGGCAAATGATGATCTCATATTGTGATTTCGGACACGATCTCGGTAACTTTAACAATAAAATGTTTAGGATAAAGTGCCTGGTAAAGCCGGCCGGTTCACCGGCGACCGACGACTCAGAATCCAAAGTAAGCGAAAGTGCAGCATGTTTACGATGGCACCAAAAAAATGGTCTTGTTCTTATCTTAGGAGCTGGGAAAGACTCATAAGGCTTGATAAGGTATTTATGCCAATTGTATTCCAGTAACAATATATTAGCTTCGGAGATTTTGAATGTGGAGTACATGGGAAAGAAATCCATGATTTTATCATTATATTATACATTACAAGCGTCTCCTCCTAACAGGCTAACAGCAAAAACCGCAAGGTGAAGAAAGAATCGAACTGTCTGACTCCAACAAGACTTGGCAAAATCAAATGGAGAATACTCGAGTAAACACTCATCATTATGAATCTACCAGCTTAATTCATAATAACCTCGAAATGCTCAAGGAGGCACATATAAATCCATCAGTTTTTCTCGGTCAGCGAAAGAACTGTACATCGTTCTGCTAAATTCGTTTCACCTGCAGCACATTTAGCACACCTGAACCAACAATGTACCTGCTAAAAGTTCTACTGCAGCGTCGTGTACAGCAGGCATCAAGAACTGTGCAATATTTGTACATATGTACTATTACGTACTAATTTTGGGTTTGAATATGTCAAATATTTTACCCAACTTCTTCACAAATTGATGGTCACGGCTACTTAGAACATTCGATACAAGTTAAAATTGCCAGTGAAACCAACACAATAAAACGTTGCATGAATATTATATTTTCGCATGTCATTCATGTATACATATTTGCCATATTTGCTCAAGAGTAAGAACATTCGATACAAGTTAAAATTGCCAGTGAAATCAACACAATAAAACGTTGCATGAATATTATATTTTCGCATGTCATTCATGTATACATATTTGCCATATTTGCTCAAGAGTCAAGAAGACATGCGAAAAAATTACGCACAATACTGAGTAATCACAGGTATCGGTACATGAAACAGACGTAGGTTAAAATTTGGCGAACGTTAAGCCTGGGTGCGCTATTTCGGAATCTTATAATCAAATAGTGCGAGTTCTAAAGCTTTGTTTTAGATATCATGTCCTCAATGCTGCTTCAGTTTAACGAGGATAACCAAACTGCTCACGTGGATCAATCGAATTATTTCTCAAATTAAATGGTCAAATACGGTCAAATTTTGGGACACTTAGGGAACACTATAATTCCATCTATTCCATAGTGACATAATTAAGGAATCTAAGAAATCACACACAATCTATGCGTACTATAATCCTGCGCTCCCAAAACAAATAATTATATACAAGCGAACAGTCATACTATATCATAATACAAATTAGAAGTTATTTATCAGTAGAATTTGATTTTTGTCTAGTGAAAAGAAAATGCTGTCGAATGAAAATTGTCTAAATAAATTCCATTTTTCGGTAAATTTGCTTACAATGCCGCACTAATTTACATAACCATTTTAATGAGTACCGGTATTAATAAATAATATTTTCAAATTCTACAATGTTAATTAACAAATTCACCTCAAAAAATGATAATAAAAGCAAAAAAGGTCTCCAAGATTCTCAAAAGAGATAACTTCGTCTGCTCAGTACCAATATCAACAGCTAGCGCGCACTGACTTCCGAGGTATTGAAGCTACACGCGCTATACGCTACACGCGCTATACGCTACACCTGTCTCTTATACACATCTAGATGTGTATAAGAGACAGGCACGATACATCACGTGCAGCACGATACATATCGTGCAGCACGATACATCACGTGCAGCACCATACATATCGTGCAGCACGATATATATCGTGCAGCACGATACATCACGTGCAGCACGATACATCATGTGCAGCACGATACATCATGTGCAGCACGATACATCTCGTGCGGCANCTGTCTCTTATACACATCTAGATGTGTATAAGAGACAGGTGTTACTCGCGTTACTCTACACGCGTGGCGCTACTCGCGTTACTCTACACGCGTGGTGCTACTCGCGTTACTCTACACGCGTGGCGCCACTTAGCTGGTGGCACCGAAAAAAAGATGAACTTCGCCTCAACTAATAGCACTGAATCGATGTCGTTCGCTCTATGAGGGCATCGACTTTATTTATCAAAGTTCAATTCATTCATAAAATTCCGACAAAAAACTACACGAGTGACATAAGCAAGACGGTTGCTGACACCAGAGAAGAATCACAGTCAAGTATAATAAATAGCTTGCTTCTTTACAAGCACACGCCTAACACGAAAGAAACGTTCTACGAAAACGTCGATGCCAAGTAAAGCTAGGACGGAGGTGACACTGTAACCACACGCTCACGCCCAGTGTCCAGGCTCTACTGCAGGAGGTTGCTGCACTCACTGCCTCTCTTAAGGCAGTTCGCACTGACCTCTGGTGGTGATTGGTCATATCTACACTAGTTTAACGTCGGTAGCAAGATAAAGCTGAGCCCTGACGCCCGATGTTAGTTGTTTGTGCGAATAGGCAAAGCCGATATTATTTCGGATGAAAAGGGTTTACTGTACAACCTATTTGTTTAATTAGCGATAAATGAGGCATGTTTAAATCGGTGACATAGTAACTTTATAACTGCATTAAAAGCATATTAATATTGTACCTAAAGTAATCCTAAACTAAAATATAAAAAACTAATCCTAAACTAAAATCTAAAAATACGTTGAGATAATGTTGTAAAAATAAAACATTCTATAGAGGGCAAGCATTACGGTCGTACGTACTCCAGCACATTAAGCACAAAGTGCATGACACAGACCAGGCGCTGAGGGACATAGGATCCGAGGGTATGGGCAGAGCTGCCAATGTGCCCGCATTTCGTCGAGCTCCGATCGAGGGCGGTTTATTCAAAAAAATGCGGGCGCTTCGGAATGCAGAAATTTATGTATGAGGAACAAACCGAATTTCTGGCATTTCATTAATTAAAATTATATCCTCCAACATATCATTCAAGAAAATTATATTCATTACAAAAGTTGTTAAGACTCACAACTATAGGCAAAAAACATTACGTTCCAATTCAATGACTGAAATCTTAGTTCTTCGTCAGAAGAAAAAAACGTTAACGTCTTTTGGTATAATTACAATCAACAAGTGTGCGATCATGGATCAACGTGAATGTAACTGAACATTTTAGAGCAAATAACGCTTGGCTTTCTTCCGGAACATGCAGACGCATAACATGATAATGGATGTTACATTCGCAGGGAGTTTAGGGCTCTAGAGCAAGGCTTCTTTTTTACTATTCAAGATTGGCTAGTGGGAACGAGCGAAAATATGGAAATAAACCTCAATAGAAACCTTATAGTAACAAAAAAAATAATTGAAAATTCACATTAGACGTGATTATTTAAATGAAGAATTTAGGCTTATCTAAATAATCTAAATAATTAAGTAAATAGGATATGACAGTTGTAACAATACTATTTATCGATGATAATAAAGGATCATACAATTTACAACCACACACTGGAAGCTGCAATTAGTGTAATAATTTGAAGGATATTTTGTCATTCACCTCTGATGTAGCTCAGAGTTACATCATAAAACCCAAGACTTGAATTTTACCGATCAAATCGTGTCTCTGGAATGAAAAGTTTAAACGTGGGCCGTGGTTTTCATAAACGAACAGCGTGTCGAGATAAATCCGTGTTTGACATTAATGGAATTACAGTATAAAATGTCTTCTGGAGCGGTAGAGTTGTGATCTAAGAGAAACAAAATTCTCGTTCATTCAAACCAATCTCGTCACAGGGTCTGGTCAATTGTATACCTACGAGGTTAATTTATGCCGCTCTCCAGATCAATTTTTATTTATATTGTAATCTGTCCCCTTTTCATAATTACCTAAAAGATAGTATAATAAAATAACCTTTCAAAATGACAATCATCTCCTAAAAAATCACCAGAAAATGCTCTTAGCAATTTATCGAAGTCACGGTGCGTTCAAAACTAGCCGCAATATAATGACTGTGATCATGAATATCAACTACTTAGTTAAACTAGAATTAAGTAGATAATTTATGCCGCTATCATGAATATTCACCGGATTGATAATGATAATAGGAGACTGTATTGCCCAACTAGAGGAACCCATTTGGGGCGAGAAATGTTCCAGGAACTGATAGAGTATCGACGCTTCTAATCGTGATGGAACGATAAGTAAGAACATAGTTACGTGTGAACATCAATAATTAATAACATCGCAGTTATTCCTATCGACAGCCATCTCCATGCAAACAAGAATATGAGAAATACACATTAACCTTATAAATGAATTTGAATGAAATTCTTTGAATACGGCCTTTAAGCCAGCTATATAATAAATGCCATACAGTGATTATGTTAGATTGTGATGAGCTGATCATAAGTTCGACTGACAAAGATGACCGTGAACATAAAGTAAATTAAGAAATATTTAACCATCTTCGTTATAATGTTACGTAAATATAATATTATCTTAACATGTTCCATTGCTAAGGTTATTAATATCTAAATATGTGATACGATATTATTACTTATGATGGTGAGTAGACCGCTAACTGA